TGCTGTATGTGACTAGTTTAAAATATATACTACCTGTGTGTAAAGATCAAATTTGTAGTGGAGGTGGCAGAGAGAACATTTCGTTACTCCTCCCTTCAGTCAATTATTAAGTGATATGTGTAAGCCACCTTCCTGGAGAAAGTGAAAGACACCCAGGCTTCTTCCTGGATGTTTGTGTGTACCCTTTAATGCAATTTAAGAGTATAGAAGGACTCTCAGAAAGAGGTTATATAGTTATTTCAAGGCATCCAGGGAGTAGGAGGAAGAGGGAGGCAAAAGGACCCTTTAAAAGGGAAATTGGAATAGTAAATTTCTTTTCCATCACAAGTTCTTTGAAAAAAGTTGTATTTCTCTTTAACTGGAGTGTGTGCCTTAGCCAAAGCTTCAGATACCTAATACCAAACAGAACAAAGATGTTGCACCGTGTTTTCATAAGTCACCAGGGGGACCAGTGTATATTTTGTTGGTTTGTTGAGTGTCTGTGGCCTTGGTTCCCTCAAGCTCGCCCCTGCAGCCCATTTGGCTGACCAGAACGGTTGCGAGAGTGGTGTACTACCAGTAGTGATCTGAAGATGGCAGCATTGGGCGACCTATCTCCTTTTCCTAAGCACACGCCCCGCCTGGCACATCCAGGAGCTGCCTTTCACGGCAGTGTTTGCATTTCAGCTTGTCACTCAGACTTTTTTTTCTGCTTAATGACTGTATGTATGTAAATGATTCTGCTTTTCTTCTGTGGAAGAAGTCTGATCTATCATTCCTGTTTTGGTTTTTCAGTTAATGATTATATGTAATTATATTCAAATAAAATATTTATAAATAATTACATATAATTAGTGGTATGTAAAATGTGGAATTCATGAACATCAGTTCTGATGAAAGGTACCCTTTAATTTGGGAGGTGATTGTCTTCGTTTTATTTGTTTCTGTTTAAAAGACATCAGTGGCCAAGAACCTGCAATCCTCTTTTACAGGTGTTCTTATGATGTTCAGGGTGTTTTGTTTTTTGTTTTTTTTGGCTAATAGGTAGGATATTTGTTTGGTAGATCTCTAGGGAATATATTATAGATCCACATCTGGAGAGAGTACTGTGGAGAACAAATTATGTTTTCTTAAAATTTTGGGAAGCAATTAGTTATCCTTGAGTTCTGAAAGGTCTCCAGGGGTCATCCAGTTCAACTCTAAGCAAGCTTTGCATTTAAAACCAGACAGAAGAAATGTGCAGCTGTCCCCCTTCCCTGTCAGTGATCATGCCCGGGGCACTCTGTCTTGTATTGAAAACAGAAAGAGAAAAATTGTCCTGAGCAAGTCCATAATTCAAATTTTGCCAACACCTGAAGTTCCAGTGCATTTTACCATTTTCTTTTTATCTGTTAGCCACACATGGAGCTGCAAATGGAAAATGGTCTTAAAGTAAAAAAAAAACCCCAATTTTCTGGAGAGAAAAGGCTGTAGAAGGAGCATAGAGGCTTTCCTTGGTTGGGGACAGCAGGAAACCAAGGGAAAAGGTAGATAGGGAATGAGCAGATGGAGCTACGTAAGGTCAGAGTTTCTGGAAGGACTCCCAGACGAGGTATGGGGCCAGGGAGCATTCTGAGCGATGGGAAGGAGGATGCACAGTGACTCTTTCCTTTGAGCTTGCCCTGATTCTAAGAGCACGTGGACCAAAGGACACACTGGTAGATTTAGCTTTGAACCTTTAGTTGAGTTGATGCAGACCTTTTAATTCCTGCCTTAGAATAGGATGGGATGCCAAATCTATGTGAAGACCTTGTGAATGGCACACCAGATTTTCTCAGCACCCCCTCCCACCCCCCACCCCCAGCCTGTTTTGATTTAGGTCATTTTGTATGCACTGATATAGCATAAGAAAAATTAAAAATGCTCATAACAGGCTGACCTAAATGCTCCTATAGCTGGCTCCATATGTGTATGTTGGAGGCTTTTGAACATGACAGCTCCCTCCCTCCGTCCCTCCCTCCCTCTCTCTCTCTGTCTCTCTTTTTTACACACTCTTCTGTATTCAATACTAAGGCTCCAAGGATTTTACATCATGTGCTATAAATGCAATACAAATTAGAGAAATCAGCCAAAGACACACTAAGAAGTTACCATGAGATTCTAGTTTTCCCCTTTTAGACTTTAATTTCTCCATTTTTGGTTGTAAGGGGGAATCATGCATCTATTAATCTTTTACCTAAAAACTTTAAAATGTGACTTGTCGAGCTCTTTGAAATTTGGAGCTCTAGATCTCTTAAATGTGACCATCTAGACTGGTCCTGGGTAAATCACTTTATCTCCTTAAACTTGAGTTTTCCTTTGGGTGAAACAACGCTGAACCTGCAGGACTCTTATTCTACAACTGTACAATCACTTCTCTTCATTGTGCCCAGGATTGTACGAAATCTTTTGGAGGACAGACTTGAGGGCTGTCTTTTAGCATTTGATCAGATCTCTTATTTTGGCTCTTCTCCTGAGGTCTCTGTGATACTGACTTCTCCCAATCCCCTGCCCCTGCTGGCTCAAGTCGTATTCTAAGTCACCCACCTCCCTTGCTCTTTGGCTGCCTCTGCCTCCTAACTGGTCTCTCTGCTTCCACTCCTGCCCCGCTGACAGTCTGTTCTTTACCCAGCACCAGCACGATCTTTTGAGACTAGATTAGAACATGTCTAGCTCTTGCCTGAAATCCCTCCAATGACTTCCCACCGCCCTTGGAAATACAAATCCGTTCCTGCCTTTGCACCTACTTCCTCTGCTGGGAGTGCTCTTTCCCTAAGATCTTTGCACAAAAGGCTGCTTTTCAAGTGGGTTGCAGCTTAAATATCACTCCCTCAGAGACGCCTTCCCTGGCCACTTCATCTAAAATAGCCATCTCTTCTGCTTAATACCTGACACATTACATGGATTTATTACATATATAGCATATTCTGCCTGGAATTATCCTATCGATTTTTGTTGTTAAATCTCATCCCGGCAACAAATAGGCTTCATGGGATCAGGGACTTTGTTGCCTTGTTCATTGCATATCCTTAGCAACTAAAGCAGATTCTGGAATATAACAGGTGTTCAAGGAGTGTTTGTAGAATGGATGAATTAATGAGTGAATGAATGACAGAATGAATGTCATGGGCAGAAGAACTACATGCCAGAGAGGTTATAGTCATATAGCTAAATAGAAGCAGGGCCAAGACTAGAACTCAGGTCCCTTCATGTGTTTCTTTCTTCCAGGTCATGCGGTCATACAACAAGCCTGACTTAGAGATAATTCTCTCATTCGTTATTTACTCACTACATATTTATTGAGCTCTTATGTTTCAGACACTATTCTGTATCAGTGGTTCTCAAGCAGAAGTGATGTTGGTCCCTTGGGAACATTCTTCAATGTCTAGAGATGTTTTTAGCTGTTACAAGTGGGGTGGGTATGCTAGTGACATCTAGTCTGTAGAGGTCAGGAATGTTATCGTCTATATGTTCTATAATGCACAGGATAGCCTCCCACAACAAAGAATTAGCCGGCCTGAAGTGTCAACAGTGCTGCAATTGGGACCCTGTTCCAGATGAGCAGATACTTACTCTCATGGAGTTTATAGTTCAGAGTGGGGAGACAGATGACAGTGTATATCATACATAAAGAAATTAAAGGCCATGTCAAAAAGGTGGTATAATGGGAAAGAAAGTAAGTCAGAACAGAGTGAGAAGGAGGGCTGGTGGGCATTGTGGGTGATGAGGGGAGGAAGGACTACAATTTTACCCTTTTGGGGAGGTGAATCAGAAAAGGAAGTTTTGCCTTGGGAGGTTTAGCTCCACGACTTCCAATGACCAGTGCTTTGGGTTCAGCCCATTGAACTTCACAGGTCATCCTCACGTTTAAAAAGCATAAAACCCTTCTGAACAAAGGGACATCTTAACTTCCAAATGAAAATAGAGCACGCTGTTGTGGGCTAGAAATAATTATTATTTTCCACCCCTTTTCAGGGGTGTTTAAATTCTCTTTCTCAACACTGTCAGTGCTCTATCATCACGAATGCAGGGCAGTGTTAATTTGATGCAATGTGTATTGCTCATTGTCAACTTCTCACTTTTCTCCCAGAGCAAAAATAGTGTGATTTCAGCTTCTCTCAAGAGCATCGAGAGATTTTTTGGTTGCTCAGAGGTTTCTGTCTGTCTAGGCTGGTTTCTTAAACTCAACAGAAACAACTGTAGATTTTAATGTCTTGGAAAAGCTGTAGTAGTTGATGCTGGTAAAATTCATGTCAGTGAAATGGTTCTTACTATATATGTTTTTATATATGTGTATATACACACATACATGAATCTACACACACATACATGGGTCTATGTGTAGCATACGTAGATATACACTTAAGATCTCACTGAAAAAGTCAGCCTAAAATTGTGGTTTTGGTAATTTGGTAGGCGTGTACTTGCTCTTTTGGTCTTGCTCTTGTTTTTGTACCACAGTTCTTTACCAAACATTGGCACCTAGTAGGTACTCCACAAATGTTTGTTGAATGAATAAACAAACTGCAAAAATCAGTTTGAGATTACTGGATTCCAAGTTATTTTTCTATGTTCGCATGAACTTATTTATGTCAACTGAAACACAACTTGGCAAATACAGAAGCATATTCTTACACTGGTATGGATGTGGCATAATCATTCATTTCTAAATCTGTAGTTTTTTTTTTTTAATTTTTAAAATTATTGCCAAGGATATGAGTTGACTTACGGGGTTTCTGAATCCACCAAGCACAAGACTCTTAGTAATTAATACATTTTCTATATACCTTTAACCTAGGGAGGGATTATTAATCAAGAGAATACATTTCAACAAGCATCTTGATTCAAATGTATTTACATTGACAGTATTGAAGATATTATGCCCAGTGCACCCTTTTATTTTGGGTGCCATTTATTCTATAGAAGAACTGTGTTAACTAGTTCACTGGATGTGTGTCCATGGTTTTTTTTTTTTTTTTTTTCCCTCATTTTTTTTCTTTCAGTGCTATTTCTTCACAATTGAGTTTGGCCTTTGCAAGCAAGAAGGGCAACTACGGGCATATGGAGCAGGACTACTTTCCTCCATTGGAGAATTGAAGGTATGAAGCTGTGAATGAAAATATCCTTCCTGAGCAAACTGGTTCAAGGTCATGGAAAATATTGATTTGTTTGTCTGAGCAGTTCTACTCATAGGTACGTCATAAATATTTGATACAGGGATGTGGCACCTCAGATGTGGGTGCTGACCTAACTTTTTGCACTTCTGAAAATGGGTCATGCCTTTCTAGGTGTGTGGTGTGGCTCAGATGGACGAGCAGCCATGTGCACAGATCAACGGGAATGACAAACGTATGCTCGAGTGTTGGGTAACATACGACTGGCCTAAATTTAGTACTGAAAAGTGGGCAGCAAGTTAGCAGTGATCGCTTCATTGAAATTTCTTTATAAGGATAGCTTGGCTATTCTCATTTCTGTTATCCCCATGGCTCCCATGGACTCCCTAGAATTTCCTTTCCAAGGGGAATTTGAGATTATGTTAGCTTCTGTGAAATTAATGTGTATTAAAACGTTTGTGGACATATACAATTTGGGGGAAAAAAGCTGAAATATACCTATGTTCAGAGAGGTAGCTAATATGTGTAGTGATGCTTAGGGAATGCTATTTTTTTGCCTTAAAATATAGTAAAATGGTCATTTATTCAGAAATGTTGGGGACTGGATCATCTGATCATTTAAATCTTTTGGTTACTTAAGAAGTGCTGTCTATACCACTGGGGGACAGCAAGGTTTGATGAATTTAGAATGCAGTGTGATGTATAATCTGGAAGTGGTACTGAAAATAATTTAATCTTTCTTTGATTATCCAGACTAAGATCGGGATTATCAACTATCTTAGGGTTTTTATTTGGGGTATTGATTATCCCTAGAGTCGAGTAATGATTATTGGAACGTCTTGGTTGTTTATATTCTTGAAAGATATAATTTTCCTGTACTTTTATTAAGTCTGTTTGCTTTATGGTGCCATTTATTCATTAATTCATTCCTCAAACATTTGATTGAACACCTACTATGTACCATGTACTGTGCCAGTCTCTAGGGAAATAAATAATGAAGGAGGAGGAGGAGGAGCAGGAGAAAGAGAAGGAGAAAGTAGAAAGAAGAAAGAAAGAAGAAGCAGAAAACAGCGACCTCAGACACTTAAATAGACCTAATTAGTATTGTAGGTGCTTTAAACATATTAACCCACTTAATTCTCATAACAATCCAATGAGGTAAACAGTGTTATTATCACATATGAGAAAACTGAGCCATAAAGACATTAAGGAACTTCCCCGAGGTGACACAGCTAATAAGTGTTGGAGCTGGACCCACGTCCAGTGGACTAGGCTCCAGGATTCCAGCCAGTAACCAGTAGGCTGTCCCGCCTGGGATCCCTGTTATCAGAGAATTTACTTTCTAGTGCAAGGGGGTAAGCAGCCAATCTGTTAATGCAAACTGTGACCAGTGTGCCCGGCACTTACTAGGCCGTGCCTGGGAAGACTCCTGACGAGGGCCTTGCTGCCCAAGCGGATTCTTGAGGAGTGGAAAGGATGAATAAGGGGAGGATGAGATGCAGGAAATAGTCCGGACAGCATTGTATGCTCTCATCAAATCCTGGCCCATTTAGGAAGCTGCCCGAGGCTCTGCATGGCTGGAGTAGTTGATAACATTTAACATGACAAAAGCCTGATGTAATGTGGTAATTTATTTTTTTTAAATGAAATCCTCAGCCACAAAAAAAAGCATTTCAGTGCCGTGACCAAAGCCCACAGCAATAGCATGATGTCATATCCCTGTAAGACCCATGCCTTCTGTGGAGTGCTTCTTGATTTCCATGAGAAAAGAATTAGAAAAATGATGTGGCTCTTGAGCTACATCTATTTACATTTACATTCTCCTCAGAAAGTTTATAAATGATGCCAGACACAAAAGAAACAAATCTCTCTCATTGCCCCAACTTTCGACAGGGCCCTCTAATCAGGTTAATGGGGCATGTGTAGGCAGCATTGGGGTGAATCTGTTGTTTTTGTTGCTTTTGGTGTGGACGGAAAAGTCTAGAAATGGAAATCAGCCAGGATGTGTACACCGAAGGGCATTGTCTGCCGTGAATCTTGTTCTGGTCCATCACCTCTGGTCATTAGCATTCTTCCATTCTCAAATTTCTACACTCCACCATCCCAGTGATTGCTACTTTGGACCATTCTTACAATTCAGAAATTCTTTCTCCGAGAAGTATCTTCTGATTGTTCACAGAGAATACATAACACAGGATGCTTTCCATATCCCCACCCCTCCCCTCATCTCTGCCCCGCTCTGTGCGAATGTCCGGAACCCTCACACAGCTTCTGAGTACTTCTGGCTAACTGTCGTTTGTGGGGACAGATGATAATCCTGAACCCGGGGAGGGCAGGGGGATCACTTTATTGATAGCATCGCAATAATTCCTGTGTCAAACACATTTATGATTTTGAATGCAGTTACCATTTGTGGTAAAGTCTTTCTTGTTGTTTTAAACTGCAGCCCAAATGTAGGTCCCAGCTAAGTTGTTGGAGGTTTGGGTGCAGTCTTTGTCACTTTTACATAAAAATTCGCCTTCTCTCCTTGAACAAAACACGTTTTAAAATTTGTTCTGTAAAAGGCTAAAATTTCTTGGGCGTAGATGTTGCATTACAGCGCCGGTCAAGGACTCCCAAGTGGTGTATCTCTAGCTCAGAGGATAACTTTCATTTTTGCCTCTTATTTTTTCGATGATTACGATGCTTATTTTTTGACAGCCTTTGAAGACAGAAACAAAATAAATAAGGAAAAGCTTGTAAAAGCTGTATGTGAGAACCACAAAGACTTCTTTTTTTAACCTCATCAGTGGTTGTTCCCTCTCTTACCTGTTCTGTGATGTACTTTCAGGAATTCCAAAAGTGTGTCTGGGTAGGGTTTTCCATATCTTCCTCACTCTGGGTGGCAGTTAATAAGGAGATAAATCATCTGGAAATCTGACTTTAATTTATTTTTTTTAAATTTACATCTAAGTTAGTTAGCATATAGTGCAACAATGATTTCGGGAGTAGATTCCTTAGTTCCCCTTACCCATTTAGCCCATCCCCCCTCCCATAACCCCTCCAGTAACCCTCTGTGTGTTCTCCATATTTATGAGTCTCATATGTTTTGTCCCCCTCCCTGGTTTTATATTATTTTTTCTTCCCTTCCCTTATGTTCATCTGTTTTGTCTCTTAAAGTCCTCTGATGAAAGTCAGCCTGATATTTGTTTCTTCTCTGACTAATTTCACTTTAGCATAATACCCTCCAGTTCCGTCCAGCTTAGTTAGCTAGATATGGCAAAGATTTCATTCTTTTTTTGATTGCTGTGAGACACTCATTATTGTGTGTGTGTGTGTGTGTGTGTGTATGTGTGTGTGTGTAACACCACCACATCTTCTTTTTTTTCCATTCATCCATCAATGGACATTTGGGCTCTTTCCATACATTGGCTATTGTTGATGGTGCTCTATAACATTAGTCATGTAGTCCCTTTGAGTCAGCCTACATGTATCCTTGGATAAATACCTAGTAGTGCAATTGCTGGGTTGTAGGTAGTTCTGTTTTTAGTTTTTTGAGGAACCTCCTTATATTTTTCCAGAGTGGCCGACACCAGTTTGCATTCCCACACATTGCAAAAGTAGATTCTTTCTCCACATCCTCAGCGTAACATCTGTTGTTGCCTGAGTTGTGAGTGTTAGCATATCCTGACTGGTATACATAGGTGGTATCATTGTGGTTTTTTTGGAATTTGTATTCTTCCTGATGATGAGTGATGTTGAGGCATTTTTCATTGGTTGGCCATCTGATGTGTCTTCTTGGAAAGTGTCTATTCTTCATGTCTTTTGCCCATTTCTTACTGGATTATTTGAATTTGGGTGTTGAGTTTGATGTGTTCTTTATGAATTTTGGATTTCTTAACTAGCCCTTTATCTGATGTTTGTCGTTTTAACTATCTTCTCCCATTCTGTTGGTTGCCTTTTAGTTTTGTTGCTGTTACCCTCCAGCAGAAGACTTTTATTTTGATAGTCCCTATAGATTCATTTTGCTTTTGTTTCCCTTTTGCACCTGGAACGTGTTGAGTAAAGTTGTTGAGGCCAAGATCAAAGAGGTTTTTGCCTGCTTTCTCCTCGAGGATTTTGATGGCTTCCTGTCTTGCATTTAGGTCTTTCATCCATTTTGAGTTTATTTTTGTGTGCTTGGTGTAAGAAAGTGGTCCAGGTCATTCTTCTTTGCATGTGGCTTCCAGATTTCCTACCGCTGAAAGAGACTGTCTTTATTCCATTGAATATTCTTTCGCCTTGTCAAAGATTAGTTGCACCGCATAGTTTGTGGAGTCCATTTCTGGTTCTTCATCTCTGTTCCATGATCGAGTGTCTGTTCTTGTGCCAGTACCATACTGTCTTGATGATTACAGCTTTGTAATACAGCTTGAAGTCTGTGTATTGCTTTTTAAAGTAAATGTTTATTGATTTATTTGGAGAGAGAGAGAGAGAGAACAGCGGAGGGTGGAGAAAGAGAGAGAGAGAGAGAGGGAGGAAAGGAGAGGGAGGGAGAGAGAGAGAGAGAGAGAGAGAGAGAATCCTAAGCAGGATCTGCACTGTCACTGTAGAGCTCAGCATGAGGCTCCATTTTTACTAACGGTGCTGGTTTCAGGAAAAGGAAGGGCCTGGGACTGGAGGTGTGAGCCATCTGAGCAGGGGAAAGGTGGGAGAAGTCTGGAGCCATTAGCACTAACTCTAGTCACAGACAAATCGAAGAGTTTGTTTGAAGAGGGAATTTGTTCCTTGCCCCTACAGGAACTTATTCAAACCAATGAAACTTTCAACATCACTGAAAAAAAAAAAAAAAAAAGGTGTGATGCTGTTATCACCCAGTTGAGCAATAGGGATGTTGGTGGCACTTTGTACTTGGTTAGCAGGAGAGACATTTGGGGAAATTTAAACAAATATATGCATACATGCATATCTACATATACAGAAGTATATATTTGCTGTTCAGATGTGGGGAGGAAGGAGAAGATGATTGCAGTGTGAGTGTAAGAGTGTTTGCAAATTCTTATTCAGAATCTAGGGCCCAAACTACCTCTAAACCTGATTTCACACTTGAGTTCTTTCCCAACTTAAACCAGTCCTAATATAGAGGGTGAGGATCACAGGATTTATGTGGAGAATAGTTGAGATAATAACCCTGTGTCTGCAAAGGCAGGTGGCTGGGAGGAAGGAAGATTTTAAATTGGTGAACTTGGGGCAGGCACTATTGTGGTCTGAAACCTGGAAGCCTCATAGCTAGGGCCGTGTTTCCTTGTCTATGGGTTCTGGACCCAGCGGGGAGAAGAGCTGTATCAATGGTGGCAGGTGTGGCTGAATGCCTGTGTACACCGACATCATCTCCACACTGAGTGGCAATAATAACTCAGCATAGGGTGCTTCCCATGTGCCAGGCACAACCCTGGGGGGGTAGATACTATTAGTAGTCCCATTTTTCAGACGGATACTGGAATAGGCTTCCAGAGGTGTAATAACTTGCCCAAAGTCACATAGAAACTTTAGGTAATAATTAGGTTCTAGGCAACTTGATGTGGAAAAAAAGTTTTTGTATTTAAAAGGCTGTAATGGCACATAAGTCTTCATTTGTGTCCTGAAGGATTGTGTTGGGAAGTGTGGGAAGGCCATGCCTAGGCCATGGGAAAGGTTGCTATGGTCAATGTGTGCTGCCTGGGGAGAGGGGGGAGATGACAGGGAGTGCGGTGTACCTGCAGGCCCTTTAAATTTTTTTAAAAATTTATTTTAGAGAGAGAGAGACAGAGAGGATGTGATGGAGGAGAGGGGAAGAGGGACAGGGGATAGAGACAGTTTTAAGCAGGCTCCACGCTCAGGGTGGAGCCCATTGTAGGGCTTGATCCCACAACCATGAGATCATAACCTGAGCCTAAATCAAGAGTCGGCCATTCAACTGACTGAGCCACCCAGGCACCCCTGTAGACCTTTTAAAATAATATTGTGAGGAGAACTTTAGAATTCATGTGGATCAATCTTTTCAGTTTTATCAAAGAGGACACCCTGTCCCAATGGAGAAGTCTGACTCATTCGATATCATGCCTCTGGGACAACTGTGTTTAGGACCCAGGACTTGTAGCTCCCAGTCCTGCACACTTGTCTTTAGCACTGTTGGTAAATACAGAACAATCCTTCTAGACAGCATTTAGATGAGAGCAGCTGATTCTTAAGCACTCTTGCACTTTTAAAATGGCTTAAGACGAAGAGACTGTCAGCCACATTCTCTCAGCCTTATAAAGCCTCTGTCTGCCAAAGTCGGATAAATTCTTGCAGACCTCAGGATATCAGACTGCTAACACATTGGGAAGGATTCGCCACAAAGTCCCCGGGGACATCAAGTAGTGTGACTCCATGTTTACAGAGAATCCATTCTGGACATAGTGGGGAAGCATGGAGGCTGCTCCCTCACATGGAGGCAGCTTAGAGATAGACGCGGACGGGAGCTGAGAATCAAACTCAGTAGGGCTCCACTCCATGGGGTGTCAGTGGAGACATGGATGCTATTTCATAGACTTTGGGTCACACTCTAGTATTCAGAAACAGGAACCTCATAGGCTGCATGGATGTTCCTGGCAGTCATCCCACAGGTAAATGAGACCACTTACAGGTGTGAGCATCACCTCGTTTTTGGCCTCACCCACTGGTTGCCCCCCAACTCCAGGCTCTTATCATTCTCCAGGCGGCTAATCTTTGGGTACCACTATCACCCCCATAATTGTAATAGCTAAGGAGCAGCACTGGTCCCATACCCCAGTGGATGGAGAGGTCCCCAGTAGGTAATTAGCATATCGGACACAGCAGGCCCCTGAGGATAGACTGCATTGTTGATAGCTTAAAATAATCAGCTCCCAGTTTTTCCTTTGATTGTTACATTAGGCCAATGTGATGTGTCTTGCCTAATGGTCTTTGCCTCAAGTTTTATTCTGTGAATCCACTGACTTTACTTGAAGTCTGGGCACAGCGCTTGCCTTCTGGCCTTTTTCTTGGTTTACTCTCCTCCCCTTTACTAGTTATAATAACTAAATGGGCTCATCTGAGTATCCAGTGGAATTGTCACATGATAATTCTTTCTAAAACCCCACCGATTTCAGTCTGTGTTATTGTATACACACATTCTGGAGGCCTCCTTTACACATGGTGGCTGCTGGGTGGCTAATGGCCTACCAAAGCCTTTTAGACCCAAGCAGATGAGTTTCATCTCCTTCTTGTGCTTGTATTGACCCGATGAAAAGTCTTGGGCTCAACAGGGATGCCCTGTCTGAGGGAGCAGAGGTTTAACTGTTTTCATGGTCTGTTTGGCTACCACTCTCCTCATGCCCCTGATTGTGAGCATGAGAACATGGAAAGATCAAGGACACTGAATCTGTCACTGTCCTTCCTTACATAGATACCGGTGAAGGGTGAAGTAAAACCCACCCCGAGTACATGGCTGCAAAGAAAGCCGCTTCTAATTCTGAAAACCACAGCAAGTCAGTAGGAGGCCTGTTCTTTGCAAAGGAGCACCAGCTCTCAGAAAAGGACATTTGTTTCTTGAAACCGTGAAGTTGTTTTTAAAATGTGGACAGAATTATTAGTCATGTGGAACCCAAATCCCCTGATGTTCATGGCACTGGATTGAATCTGGCACAAATGCATTTCAGGTGTAGTGACCTTCTGCTTTTAATGAAGTTGTTCTGTGGGCCAAAAAGAATGAATGAGTTCATTCCCAGAGGCCCTCTGCATTCCCTGATTCATATATGCATTGATCTGGACAACGCAACTTTGCAGGAAAGCAAATCACATGCAGGTGGGCCCTCGTGCCCTTTCTCTTGCATGTTAGTCCTTTGGTCTGCAATTGTATTTTCAAACTTAGGGCACCACAGCCTTGTTCGTGGAAGACTGCAGCAAATCATCCCGTGCATTTTGAAATTGTTGGGGGTGTACCAAGAATTTGAACAGGAAAGATTTTTCAGCATTTCTCCAGGAAACTTTAGCAATCTACCTCTTGTACCGAGAGGGAGAAAAGTGCTTTGGGTGGAACCCAGATGCTGGAATGAAGTGTCTTCAGAAATCATCCATCCCAAACCTCTCATTTACAGTTATGGAAACAGAGGCACAGAAGAGAGGCCAAGGTTACCCAGCTTGACAGCAGTAACATTTAGAGTAGAGCCCATTTTCTCTCCGTTCAAGACAGTTTCTGCTGCCTCTTCTCTCACTCTGCTTCTCTCCCCCAACTAATTTACCCTTTTAATTAAGAAAAAGACAGAATCCAGAGGAGTATTTCTCGAAATATAGTTCACAACCACTGGAGTCTGAATCACCTCGGAAGCCTTCAAAATGCAGATTCCTGAGATTTATCCAGACTTGCTAAATAAAACTGAGGCCTGGGTATTTGCATTTTTCCCCAAGCTCCTCTGTCATCCTTATGCACATGAGGTTTGAGAACCATTAATCTAGGGACGATAAATAGGCAGGTGGCACGTGGCAGGAAGTGACCACTAACTTTCAGCATCAGTGAATTTATCTTGAGAAGACAGTCATCCATTGTTTCTTGCTGTTCTCAGTGCCAGTCATGTAGTGAGTTGAATGGAGCTAATGATGGTTCAAAGAGTAATTACATTGGCTTCCCTGTTTTCCTAACACCTTCTCTGTGCATAAGTGTAACTATTAATATTAGCTCCCTTTTCCCACCTGACAATATTTATCTGCTGTATATTGCTCTGCTGTACTTGCTGGAAGGGAAATGAATGCTTTGCAAGTACCCTCAAATATACAAGCCAACTCCAGACTCTGTTGATACACAGTGCCTGGCCTCAAAATGTCTCACAATGAGGCCACAAATAGTTCAGTCAGAGTCCCAATTACCTTTCCACGCAGGTAATTATTACTTCTGCCATTTAAGTGAAATTTTAATACACTGCTTATAGCAATAAATTTAGGACCATATTTATGCTGTCTCCTTGCTTCTATTCATAGCGTAGATTTAAAATTCCATTTCTTTTGGGATATAGCTCTGAACTGTCCTTCCATATGAATTTGTCTGATAATACATAAAATAATACCATAATCTCATTTTTCCTCTCAGCTTCTAACAGACTTAAACAAAACAAAACCCCTAACACGCATTTTACCCTGCATTTTTAGAGAGTACCGTATTTCATGGCAGACTAGTAACTGAGCAGCTCTGTAAAAATACTGAGTTGTGTTATAGAACTGTGACATCATGGCACTTTGGAAGTCTCATTATCGAGTTTAATGGGTTTCGTGGTATATTTTGCAGCATGCTCTTTCTGACAAGGCATGTGTGAAAGCCTTTGACCCAAAGACCACTTGCTTACAGGAATGCCTTATCACCACTTTCCAGGAAGCCTACTTTGTTTCAGAAAGTTTTGAAGAAGCCAAAGAAAAGATGAGGTAAACTTGTGTTTCTTCCATCTCCAGAAAATTACTTTTTATTTTTCTGGCTCTGTTCCTTCCTTCTATCTGTATCTCCTATACCAATGACAGTTGATCACTTATCCCTCTATTTCTGTTTATTTTGCAGGGACTTTGCAAAGTCAATTACCCGTCCCTTCTCTGTGTACTTCAATCCCTATACACAGAGTATTGAAATTCTGAAAGACACCAGAAGTATTGAAAACGTGGTGCAGGACCTTCGCAGTGATTTGAACACAGTGTGTGATGCCTTGAACAAAATGAACCAGTATCTGGGGATTTGATGCCTGGGACCATTGTCATTGCCAGAATGATCTTTCTGGGGCTTAGCAGCAATTCAATCAATGTCATATAACACCAATAACTCTCTGAGTCATGGCTTGGCTACTGAGCATGCAATTCTGTACAATTCTGCATATCTCTATCTACTTGTAATTTACTGTGTTAATGTGTGAAACACCATAAAGAACCCAATGACAGATAACCACTCATTGTTTGAAATATTGTAACATGTTTAAATGTCTTAAGTAGATTTGACATTCTTGCTTGGTGTCCTTAACCAAACTGCAGCTATTTAAAATTTGTAACAAATAGCCCTCTTATGATTCTAGCTTATTACTTTTTTTTTTTCTCAGATCTGAGCTTTTCCTCTGTGTTCATTAGATAAAATGAAAATAGCAGTGAAACTGTTTCTATTTTCTATAGTATCAGTGTTTCCACAGCACTATTTGAGATAAACCCAGAATTGTGTGAAAACTCCCATCACATTAACAAAAGATACAGTATTCTGTTTCAAAAATGAAAACTAGTGAACCCACTGGTTGGAATGGTTTTTAGGTTGAATATTTATACAATGTTAGAAAAGAGAACATTTTGCAAATGGAACGTGTAGGTGGCATTGACCATGTATAAACTGAGTTGTGGCATGCTTTCCAAAGTATTTTGGAAGAAAATACTTCCAGAAAGGACATTAGGAAAGACTAAACAATGGGCAGAAGGTCTTGGGACTATGAATTTTATGCTGGAATAAATAGAATTATCATGCTCAGGTGTTTAATCCATTTGTCTTAGAGAACAATAATATCATAGAGCCTGGGTTTCAAAACTGTGGAATTGCGTCTCAGAGAAGTTAAGTGATTTGCCCAAAGCAGCGGTTAATTGTGCACTAACATTTCCAGCCCATTGCATGTCACTTTTGGATTGCTAAATTCAACTTGGTATATTTGTGTGTAGTAGAGAAGGGAAAACTAATACTTACAAAACTATGTTAATCGCTAAATAGGATTTGGTTTTTGATCAAGGGCTTCCAACAGCACAGATGTTTCCTCTCACGGCCCCCAAACCAAGCCAGATCTCTGAGAGTTTGTCCAGTTTGCCCAAAGTTTGGGCAAATTTGGGCAGATAATGGTGATGCACCACAAATCTCTAGCCATCTTTGCCGTAAGAGGTATAATCAGGTGACTAAGTGAACAAATAAAAATCTGAATGAGTGAATAAGTTTCGTCTGATTCTCTCAACAAACACAACCACTGTTCCTCACATTGTACTTTTGTCATGCAGAATGCTGGATGGATGAAGGAAAGGATGGGAAAAAGAGATGAGAAAGGTGACAAAATGACTTTTAAGTTAGCAATTCTACAATATTTGCTTAAGCAATTTCTAAGATGTTCTTTTAATAACAAATGGCATGTGATTTCAAACGAATTCATACTCATATGGGCCCATTATGAGTCAGAAATTTTTGTACTAGATGTACTTGGGAAGAACATGAAAAAGAGTGAAAATATGCATCAGAGAGAGGTAAAATGAAAAGAAATCAGAGGTTTGAATAGTGGTTCCTTAACTACTGAGGGTCTTTCGTTTCTGAAGGATTCTCAGAACAACTGAGTTTTGGAAAGGGATTTGGTAGACAGAATGTGACAGTTACTCAGTTTAAATGCTATTTTAAATGGAAGAGATAGTGCCTTGAGAGATTATTGGTGGTAGAGAAGTGATGAGCAAGCTGAAGCAAAATGATCTAGAATGATCAAGTAGTTGCATATTTCAGTAGTTTTATAGATTCCAAACGACATAGTTTCTTACATCTTGTTTTGCTAGGTCTAGATGACCCTGAGTAATTATTTACTTATAAATTCTAACCTAGAACAATAACCCAGAATAATAAGTCCAGAAAGTTCCAGAACTAGTTGCTGAATTTTCTCAAAGAGGAAAATTGGCTAAGAAACTCTTAATGTCTGCCTTCCGCCTTGTTTTCATAATTTGGTGTAATAAGTAGCCATCAAGGTTGTCCCTTTTAGCCCCATGAGAGGGGAGGTTCTCAGTTAAGTGGACTGGAAGAAGAATTATATTTAATTGTAAACAAATTCCCTCAACAAAAATAACACTTGAGCTATCTTCTGATTGGCTTTTTCTCCCCACATGTGCAAAATCTATGTTGTTTCAAAAATAGAAGAGTTGCAAAGTAAATAGGCTTTCCCACAGAGCTTATATAGGTTATCATATAAGGTGGAGGGATTACATGATTCTTTTTAGATTTGTTCTCCATTTGGAAGAGCAGTAACCATGGTTTTCACTGTGTGAAACAAAGGAATCATGGTTTTCATTTGTCGTGAGCATTTAATATGCAAATGCTATTACAACTAATGGTGGGAAAAATCCTATAAAATTTAACAGCCATCATAGGAAAAGTGTTGGCAGAAAAAGTTCCCAAATGGAAATAGTACAACCAAATAATCACAGCTAGCTCCTTGTCATATTTGATACCTGCTTAGTATAACCATCTGTCTCACTTATGACTCATGACTTAAGGCTAAATTAAATAGAATCAAGGGCAATTATAAATTTAAAGATGCTTGCTCACTGTCATTGTGAATTGCTACTTTATTTTGACTTTGATGCTGACTTCTATAACCGGCTAATCAGAAACCAACCCAAGATTCCTGGCAATACCAGGTTTCTTATGCATCACACATTGGCAAAAGACAGCCAGAAATCTGATTAGTCCAGTTTTCTTCTGGAAGCATTTTTGTCTGTTACAAGTTAGGGTCAGGCATCCAGTGTATGCTTGGATGATCAGTTTATTTGGTATGATGAGAGCTTAATAGATTGTTCATAAATTGCATCTTATAAGAGTAGGGAACTTTGACCCAACCAAGTTGCTAATTTTTTTTTTTTTTTTTTTTTTTTTTTTTTTTTTTTTTTTTTTTTTACATTTGTGGTGAGGGTTGTGGAGCCTTGGGTTTCTGGCTTAGTCTCATTTATTTACTGTGTAATTTAGAAATGATGCTTTATGGGGATGATATATGTGTTCTTGTCTTGCTTGCACATAGTAGATGGGCCTGTGCCTAATGAATGCAAAGTATTGCAACATTTACCAACATGAAAAGTCTAAAATGAAAAACAGTGCGCTTTAACATGGAAGCAAATAGAAATACAAGGTTTCATTTTCAAATGGAGTCATGGCTCACATCATCTCATTTTCTTCATTCGAGAAGGAAAACATTAACACACGATGTAGTTGTCCTCCAATTCATTTGATCTAATTTTCAACTTCTAAAGAATCAAGCACTGATGCTTACTCTCATGAACCTTGTCTTACTTATAATGAAAAAGAAAGCAGTCCAGAGTATTCTAGTGTGTCTGAGTTTTTTTTTTCTTCCTCTTCAATTTGCAAAGACATTCTCTTATTTTGGGAAATGATTCTTATGCAGATTGCCATATTTTGGGAAAAGGCAAGGGAATTAATAGTGAGATACTGCTTCTAATATTAAATTTGCATGTGTTCAAAATAAACCAGTTCTGGAACATGAAATGGTGATTCTTTATAATATATATGACCTGGGGCCTCAAAACATTTATTCAGTGGCTTAGACCGTATTAGGGACTGTATGAGACACTTTTCTAGACACTGAAGATATGGTGGTAAATAAGGCAGAGAAAGTTTATGCCCACTTTGAACTTATATTCTGGTGGGCAGATACAGGCAAAAAGCCAGATTATTTGAGACCACAGCAAATTCTATGAAGAAATTGGAGTGATAAGGAGCAATGGGCAGGAGGAAGGAATAAGGTGGCTAGGGTAAGTTTTTCTGAGCAGATGGCATTTGACTAAGAACCATGGGATGAGGAGAAGCCAGGCATGAAGAGACCCATGGAAAGAATGTTTCTTGAAGAGGGGACAGCAAGATCAAAGCCAGTGGAAGCCTACAGAGGAAGGACAAGAGAGCAGCATGGGAGGCAAGGATAAGATAATATAGGGTTTCAGAGGGGGTCAGGTATGTTCTAAATGGAGTGGAAAGTCACTGGAGAGCTGTAGCAAAACAGTGACAGATCTGATTTACATTTTGAAGAGGTTACTCAGGCTGCTGTGTGGAAATGAATCCAAGGGGGATGGGAGGGTGGGGTAAAACCAATTAGGAGGCTATTGCAATGCTAGAGAGTCAGTATCTTGCTGGATCATGGTGGACGTTATTAAAAGCAGTAATTAAATAAGTTACACAGTTGGGTGGGTAGATTAGAACTGTCAGATGAAAAGTGGGGAAACTGGAAAAATGGTACCTGGGTTATCATTTGGAGAAGCATATATCCAATGATACCCTGTGTCTTTTGCAAATACTTAAAGTTTCCTTTGACAAAGTAATATTAGATTAAACTTTTTCTGGCAAGCTTAAGGATAAAAAGCCATGCAATTTTTTTTCTCGTGACCCACAAATATTAACTGCATAAGCAAAAATGAAGTAGAAAATGAGGCATTGTAGGTGAACAATTGGTGGTGCTGACATTTAGGATAATTCAGGAAAAAAAGCTCCCTTATTTCCAAGCACACTAAACAGTTGTGTTCACCGTGCCATCCAGCCATTTCTGTGGGAATAGACCTCATAAAGCGAATCAGTTGTCTATTTCCACTATTCTTGCTGCCTTCCACCTCCCCAGCTGTATATTTCAGATACCCCAGAAAGGTTCACTTGCTGTCATTTCTTCCTCTCTCCAAGAAGGACGGGTCTGGTGCAGCAGCTGGATGCACATTTCCTTCTTTGGGAAGATCATAGTGAGCCTGATGTTCAACCTAAGGGCGTCTGTGGTTATGGTGCCTGCAAACAGCATTCTCATAATCCAGTCTGGATACAGTTTTTATAATTGAACAACGGAAACATCTGACAGATGTGGGTAGGGTAATTTGAAAGCTTGTGGCACAAAGAAATCAAGTTCATTTTCTGTCAAAATCAAATCTTTAAAAAAGATGCAAACCTAGCCCTCATTTTTAGGTTGAGAGACATAATCTTAAT